CGAAGGTGCTTACTGGAAGTCTCTGTGGTATATCGGCATATCGGGAGATTTGGATTAGGATTCTGGAATGAGGGTAACCGTCTTGTTGCGTTCTTATCTACTGCATGACTTTTTCAAGGTAACTCCATTTTCGTGAAGAAAGAACAGCGACGGTGGGCATGTGAGTCGCCCAGCGATACGAATGCGGAGATTGACCACACTCACCCGAAGGTGCTTACTGGAAGTCTCTGTGGTATCATCCTTTAGCAGTGGTTCAAATCACCGTCTCCTCCAAGCAAGAGCGCGATTCGAAAGCTGGAAAGGATATATGCACTGTGTAGGAACGAGAAAAATCGTATATGACGGCATCAGGTTGGAGGAGCTCCTGAACACTTGTGATCGGCCCATCGAGGAGTACCCAGCAAGCGGCTACGACCTGCTTCTCAGAGAACTGAGTGTGGTGAAAGTGCCTCAGTGTCACGAATAAGGAACTTAGAATGAATTTTGTGAGCCACCAAGGATTGGTTAGAGAAGAGGAGAGCACTGAGGTTGGTTCTGATGCGTCACATCTCGAACTGGTGGCCAATACCAGTTGAAGAACAGCTTTGCAAGAAGATTTTCGAATGTACAGGCAATCGAAATTTTGGAAGAAGTACAAGGAAGGAGAAGTCTAAAGAAGTATCGCAAGGACCTTCTCGACTAACGTGTTCCACAAACAACAATACTAAACGAAGACGAGACTCGCATGTCTTTCCGGCAAAAGACGGATTCAGTCACAAAGAGATTCTACACCGATTTCTTCTGCTCGTTAAAATCCGTGTCAAACCCCGTTATCTCCTGAGAAATACCACCACGGATTCTATCTGCTGAAGTACGCACCGCAAACCAGCCTATGAAGGCAGTTGTGGCTTCGGGATCGGACCATGTTTTGGCCGACTTTTTACTAGCTGGGGGACATCGCCTACACTTGCGGCACACCTAACGTCTTATCTTCAAAAGAAAGGATCCACCAGTGAAGAACCTCCCGAACAATCCTCCTTTATAAGAAGAGTGTAACTTCAAACTACCGTACAATATGCCTGATGAGCGTGCTTTACAAGCTTCACAAGGATCATTCTCACTCACATATCAAGGAGGCTGAACGAAGCCCAGTCTGTAGAACAAACTGCCATACTGTCAACGCTCGTCGACCAAAGGTGGACTCATTGTTATTTCCATTATA